ATCGACAAAGAGGTCAAGGCAACCTGCTCTCCTGGACCAAAAACTGTCTCAGAGAAGCAGGAGTGAAATTTCATGACAGTCTCTGAATACAAGACATGAATATGGTACACCGCAAGGAGGCATTCTCAGCACCCTTCTCTTCAACTGTTTAATGTAAAGAATAATGAGGTTGAAACTCCTACAACACTGCAGGCTGCTAAATTACGCGGACGACTTTGTTATCATAAATGGAAGGGATGCGGCGCATCTTGCACCCAAATGCTGAGACTGCATCAGTGAAAACGTAAAGCAGATTGGTATCAAACTCATCCCTACCAAGACAAAAGCCATGCTCAAAAATACTGACGCCGAACATACCACTCTCAGTACAGGGTCAACCAATTGAATGGGCACACCTTATCAGTGTCTTGGAATAATCCTGGACAAATTTTAATGCTAATGTCTTACTTGAGAGAACACTGCGGCCCGGACAGCAATCCTCAGGTCGCTAACCTCCCTCTCTGGAGGAGGCAATATGCAAGTCTTTTGCATATACTATGTACAGGCAGTCAGATCAGTGATCGACTATGCAGCATCTGCACTCAATCCAATCACAACAACAGTGGAAAAAGCTTTAAGTAGCCAAAAACAATGCTATGAGAGCTGCCCTGGGAGCCCCCTATGTAGACCAGGCTTGCAACTAAGACTAGAAACTAGTTTGCCCTCTCTTCAAGAAAGAAAATATCAAAGAACAGCTACGATTATCAGTAAAATAATTTATTCCCCTGATCCAGTCCCAGCAAGACAGACCTTGGTGGTTGGACTTCGACAAAACAATGGAAATTCTTCAAGCCAGAGCGGGAAAATTTCTAAACGACTATAATTAAAAAGCACGATTCTTGATAGAGGTGGTGATTACCTACACAAACTACACCTGTTCCCCACCGTGGGAGGAGTCTTACCTTGAGGTAATTTTGAAATGACTTCGGTGCTTTGCGTCCCCGCGGCCCGGTCCTCGACCAGGCATCCTTTTTGTTACACACCTTCAGGAAGCAGCCCGTGCAGCTGTAACTCCCAGGTACCTATTTACTGCTAGGTAAGGAGCATGAGGGTGAAAAACTCTGCCCATTTGTTTCCCCCTTCACCGGGGATCGAACCCGGCAAACCAGTCCTCTTAAAAATAACGTCGCTTTTGGCTGTGCCCGTTTGGCCGAATATGGACGTAATTTGAAAATGAAAAAAAAATTAATATAAATTTGGCATTTTTTTCAACAGTAAGTTAATGGTCCTCTGATAGGTTAGGTGGGCAGGAAATTCTCAGTTTCAAAACAGTATGAAAAACGTTAATGGAAAAAATCCTCTTCTAAGCTGGCCGAGTAAGCCAGACGACTCAAACAGAAAACGGAACAGTACGTCACTTTTTTGAGTCGATTTCATTTCAAATTACGTCCAAATTTGGCCATAGCGCGCATACGAGCCAAAAGTGACGTTATTTTTAAGAGGACGGGTTGAACCCGGAACCTCAGGAATACGAATCTGAAGCGCTGTCCACTCAGCTGTCAGGCTCCATGTAGCCTACCTTCAAAATAGTAATAGAACCTTTAATATGTCTTACTGGAAAAAATCTTCTAATGAAAAAAGCTGCCTATGATCCAACAATCCTAAGGCGCATCATAGAAAATCAAATGAACAGCATAGCAGTAGCCACTCACGTCTTCACACACAGATCGGTTGACACAATAAGAGTGCTGGCGCTGCTCTTTGCACGGACAGTGAACAGGCCTATTTGGAGACTGGAAGAACTAGTATATTCAACCCAAACTGAACTGTTTGCCATACAAAAGGCATTCGCATGTGTGATTGCACAAAACACTCAATATGCAATCATAAACAGACTCAAAAGCTGCACTTCAAATATTAGGAAAAAAGCAGTAGATAGACAACGTGGAAATAATTACCACCATTTTGTATCTTGGAGCAGTAACTAAAGGAAAAAGACTCGACATAACCCTAAACTGGATCCCATCTCATGTTGGAATCCCATTAAATGAGAAAGGCGATGAAATTGTTAAATTGGCAACCAGTCATCCAATGATTAATAAAACAATCCAACCCTGCCTCGAATACATAAAAAACACCATCACCAAAAAAACTCACACCTCAACAAAGCCCATTCACAACCGAGTAGCAGAAGGTTCGAGCTCTGCAATATGGTATCTTCAGGCCCACCAAGTTAAAAAAGTTAAATACCCCAAAACGAATTCACAGGGATACAGCAGTTCGTGTATATAGACTACATCTAGGTTACAGATGCAACTGGGAAATTGGTTAACCCAGACAGAAGGAATGCATCTTTTGCCGAACAATCACAGAACAGCCACTACTTCACTATCTCCAGGAATGTGAAGCAACCAACGACCTTTTAAGAGCTTTAAGAGCCCCTAAATCTTGCAGTAACCACCCTGAAGCCATCAACACAGCCACTCTTCTGGTCAAAAGAGGTGTCCAGCAGCTGGACACCCTCAAATACTGTTAAGCAGTATCCTCCCCCTTGATAGCAGCCTGACTTCAATGCGAACTCAGCACACAGCATACTTTTACTTAACAAAAAATCAACCGCTTACGGGCCATTCATGCCCTGTGCTATTTCTCGGGTGGCTTAATATTCATCAATTAATCCATTTGGTCCACCACACTCCACACACACCCCCGGTCCACACCACCAATCCTGAAGAATAACTTCACAAGACATCCATTGCCACTAGGACCCATTGAGGGGTTTTTAACAATGCACCACTAATACCTGAAAGTCAGGACTCTCCCCATGGACGGCCATACTTTCACTAAAACTGACGTCTTTAAGATCTTAAAAGAAGCCGTCTGACTACACCCATCGACTTTGATCAAGAAGGTGAGAATATTGATCTCTCTTGTGTGGGGGATCTCAAAAAAAAGAGAAAAAAGAAAAAAAGAAAAAAAACTTAAATTCGATTGCACACTTAGGAAAGTGCACGACTTCTTTCCTCTCCTCCTACATCAGTACATCACTGACCGAACAATCTTCATCAGTGGGACCAGCCACTGGATCACGGACCGAGACTAAACGGAGATTACCAACATCAAGGAAGAAACCCCGAACCTGAGGGTATTCGATGTTCTAGTCTGCAGCAACGATACCGAAGATGACAAGCAAACCGCCATGAAGATATCCTTCACCGCCTTAGCCGCGGCTAACCAGGCTGCCACACATGGTCTCCACTGCTTCAGCATCAAGATTCTACCCTTCCAAGTGAAGAAGGAACGATACCATGAGCTCCAAAAGGGCTTTCTGTGCTTCGATTACTCCCACGCCACCAACAAGTGTCAGCACCCCATCCAGAAGTGCAGCCTTTGCACCCAGGACAATTACTCCATCTGTAAATCGACAACCCATTGCTGCCTTCTCTGCAACGGCAATCAACCTGCAATTTCACACCGTTTTCCTTGCAGACAAGAAAAAATCAAGGCCCA